CACGTTCACTTTGCAGAGTGAATTTTCACTTTGCAAGGGAATTTTCACCTACTTTAGTGGATCATTTTCTCACTATCTTGGTGAATGAGAGGAAGTTTTACTGACTTCACTCATGCAAACTAAAATCCTGTTTCGTTTTGTTTTTTTATTTCTTTGCATGCTATTGGGTATTCTTTCTAAATATATATTTTCAAAAAACATTCATTAGGCTAAGTAAAAATATTCTTTCAAAATTAAAATTCCCTTGCAAGGTGAACATACTCTACTCCAGTCTCTCTAAACTGTTTTAAAACAGAAGAACCCTGGATATAACTTTCTGGCTTTGGCTTTACATACACTAATTTGGTTCTGACATAATAAAGGCTAATGCAGGGCATACACGGGTCGAATTCCAAACAAATTTTCTTTAGAAAATGGGAAATCTTGTGCGTTTTGTAATACCACCATTGATTTCGAAATTTGACCAACCAAGCCTTCAATTTCACGTGTTGCTACAGAAAAGAATTTGTGTCCGAGAATTTTCTTTTCTTTCCAGGTCACAGCTCATGTTCATTTCTTTTTCCTGCACGATTCTCCCATCAATGATTCGAAATTCATTTGTTTTTCAAAAAATTTCCAACATGCCCGATCACTCAAATTCGATAGTCACACAAAAAATCAGCCATTTCTGTGACACGCTAATAGTGCAAAATTTGAACGAAAATTCCTAGAAAAGATTTTTGAAAGAAAATTCTTTCGGAATTCAACCCATGTATGGCCGGCTTTAGGCTGGCCACACATTAATAGATTTTTTTATTTCAGCCTGCAGGGTTGCAGCTGTATAGCACAAATGGATGGATCTCCTGCTGTGGCTATACTATCCTAACAAGCCGATGCAGGCAGCTGTCAGATTACCAGATTGGCTGACAATTTTTCATCCCGCCCTTTGATTTTTTTTTTTTTTTACAGTCGAAGGATATTGAGTGAGAGGGGGCCAACAGAGCCACCCACAAGGCAAATTTCTGCCAGTTCATCAGGAACCAGCCGAATTTCACTCGGTGTATGGCCAGCTTCGGTTACAAGGTGATTCTGAACTCTAAGATACTGAGAGATTTAGCCACTTGCAGGCAGTCACTTAGTTGGGCCTGAGCTGCAATGTAGTTTTTTGCATAGCTCAAACACACTTCCAAAACTTTTAGAGCTTGATTACAAGGCAAAACAACTGGAACAAATAGTGCAAGTAACATGCAGTATCGTTTTCCATATATCAAAAATTGAGGCATTGTATGGTCATGTGATATCGATCCATTCTACATTCTATTAGTGTAGCTTCCTCCATAGGGAGTGGTTTCTTCAATCTCTTTAGCAATGAGTTGCAACTCCTAAAGAAAATTTGTTAGCAATTTTAGCGCCACAATTCAGCTGCTAAAAATCTAAAGGGGTGACTGCCAACAATTGATAATATCCCCCTAGTAGTAATAAAAACTGCTTGAGTAGCTTAGATCTTGTATGATAAAGTTAGTTTCATTAACTTCATATTGCTTTGTAGGCTTGACTCATTGGTCTACAAAATGCTATTGCGGATTTCCCCCAAGTACAGAGGTGAATTCTAAAGCTGGTCATACATTATACGATCTGATTGTACAATCTCCTTTAGACTTAGAAAAATAAAATGTAATATGAGGACAATTAGTAACAATCCAGGCAAGCCCCTGCATAGTTGATGGTAGATCAGATTTTATATTGTATGATCAACCTAAGGCTCACAACACACATTACAATCTGAATATACAATGTCCTTTAGATCTATCAACAACTATATAGTGCAAGAACTTGCCTGAGTGGATACAGGGTCCATTTTTAGAAATGACCATATGAGGCTGTAAATTAAGTTTTTAGTGATACATCTTTATATATACTGTTAATGGATGTCATTTAATTTTTGCTGATATTATAAATGTTGAATTTTTAGGCCTTGTCTGCAGAGACGCAAGTTTTTTGCAGACATTCTGCAAGGGCACAAAGAAAACAGCTGTTCTCTATGTGACCTGCTCACACTGCAACACTAGTATCATGTTCAGATTTTTTCTGCGTGTACAAAACTCACTGAAAAACGCATGAAAACAGATATAACTTGCAGACACAAGTTTACATCTGTGCCTTTTTTCCATCGTTTTTTCTGCGTGTATGGTGTGGACATGGTCTTAAGTGTGACATTGAGCTTTAGGCTCCATTTACACTTGTGTGACTTCAAAATCGTGTGATTCTCATTGCGAGTTTACAGTGCGACTTGATGAGACCTTGATGAGTGCGACTTTAGTGCAACTTTGGCATTGACCAAGGATGATTGTTTCTGCTGTACAAGGTCGCACACAAGTCGCATGTATATCACTCAGGTGCAACTTTCATGCAACTTTGGAGGGTTTACATTGAAGTTTATGGACCTCAAGTTGCATGAAAGTCGGACCAGAGTAGTGTAGGAACTACTGTTAAGTCACTGTGACTTGAAGTTGCACAGATATGAATGGTACTCATTGGAAAACATGGGGTGCGACTTGTCATGTAACTTTGCACCCAAAGTCGCACAAGTATGAATGGGCTCTTACGCTATTATTTACAGGGTTATCCATAAAGTCTGTACAATTCATATTTTTAAAAATTCATCTATGCCCAATTAAGTATCTAAAAAGTATCTGCTAATTCCCTGCAGCCAGAATCCATACAGCTCCTCACATGCTTAGTGGATGTGCACTTCCTGAAGCCTGAGCAAGGTAACTTATTTTAATATAAAAAGGCCCAAATTAAAATGGTTCTAAAGCCTTATGGTTTTTTACCTTAATGAATTATATGCATTAAGGTAAAAAACCTTCTGTTGCAGAGGATCCCTTGAGCTCCCCTTACCTGAGCCTGGTCTCGATCCAGAGATGTGCATGAGAGCTGTGGCTTTCCCAGCTCTGTACCTCCTCACTGGGCAGATTTTATCAGTGGCTCCTGCTCCTGTCAATCAAATCCTATTACGAGGGAGTAAGGGGTGGGCTGAGTCCCGTTGTCTGAGTCAATAGATGCAGACAAGGCAGCTCGGGAGCGAGCCCGCATGAATACCCCCATAGAAAGCAGCTTTCTATGGGGCACTTGGCAGAAGGGTGGAGCCAGAAGCACCAGTGATGGACCTGAGAAGAGGAGGTTTAGGGCTGCTCTGTGCAAAACCATTGCATAGAGCAGGTAAGTATATCATGTTTGTTATTTTATTTTTTTTAATTCAAGCTTTAATATCACTTTAACACAGCTCTGTAATCATTAATACATCATTAAATGCAATCAGTGTAAGTACCTGAACTTGACATCAGCCTCTTTCAGCCTACTATATACTGGAGCTCAGGGCTAGGGGATGGGGGGGGGGGGGGGGGGTACCACAAGTAGCCAATCACTGCAAGGAGATTGTGGAGTTTGATGGCACAGTGACAGAGAGTAACAAACTGCATACTACTTCTCCTTTCACTGTCCAGTCACAGGGTAGACGGGGAGCCTGTAAGTGAAAGCAAAAATGCAGCATAGAAAAATTAGGTCACCTTCTCTGCCAGGCAGGACTGTCCTGTGTGGCAGAGCTGTGTAAGTTTAATAACTGGATGGACAGAAATAAAAACTATATTATGGTAACAGCTTGCTTTTATATAGTCTGTCTTTGCTTTGACCAGCTGCAGCTGCTGATTGGTGTATTCTGACAGCATCGGACGCCATTGTTAAAATACACTGTTCTAGCACGAGGGACTCCTCTATCCACCTTGTTTGTGTGTGTAGAGGAACTGGGTAGTTTTTTTTTTTCTTTTGTTCAGTTCGCTGGCTGAACGAAAAAGAAAACTAAATGTGTATAGCCAGTTTTAATGTACATCTAAACGCTTCTGTGTGACAATCTAAACAATCCAGGTTCTATGTGATGCACAAGCCTTATGAATTAAAATAAAGGCCCCATTATATCTTTTAAAATAGGCCAAATCTTCCTTAATTTTTGCCTCACACACTCCCCTTCCCAGTGTTTCACTTTTGCTAGGCAGTTATGTCCCACCTACAATCACAAATCTTCCTTGTTGCCTTTGTACCTAAAGGGACCTAAAATAGATCTGGAAGCACTCCAATCTGACAGTAGAGTTCAACTATGGACATCAGAGAGCAAGTAAACCTGCAGGTATGATCCAAAACCCTCTGATCTTTAGCCCGTACCCTGCTCCATAAACACCAATGGTCACATTGTGTTCATGTTCAACCTTGGAGAGAAAGAGGGGGTAGAATGTGCTGCAAACACATCTGGAACTGGCTTATTAGGGGGGAACACAAAAGTGATTGGAGAACGTATCCCAACATGTCTGATGGTTTCTCCCCTGGCAAGTTTTGGGTGGCAGTGTCTGCATAGACAGAGGTTTTGAAAGGATCGGTTAAATGACATGTAATATCTATGGACAGATATACATAGTGCAAATCCTGCACACTTCAGTATAGAAGTATGCATACAAGAACATTTTACTTTACACTTAGACCACCCTATTCATAACTAGATCAACGAAAACTATAGGCAAGTGGGCACCCCCTTGTCCACCCGAAATCTCTGCTACCACATGCTGAAGCCTGCATTCGTACAAACTTACTGTTAAATTGATCACCTTTTTTTTTGGTAACCTTGATGACAAGCCAAAGCGATGTCTGAAGAACATTCAGTTTCTTATGTAAAAAAATAACTGGCACTTATTCTATTTTAGAAAACAAAAATACAAGGATTTAATAAATACCTTTACAATCCACTGTATTATTCGGAGTTTAAAAAAAAAGATTATCAAGGCATCGTAGCTACAAATGGATTCCATTTATATCATCTGAAGGTTAGATGGGAAATGCGGATTACAGTCACAAAATACATTTGTCGTACTGAACAAGAAAACACGCCAAAAGCAGAATACAGCAGTATAGGATGGTACAGGCAGCTACACACGCTAATCTCAGCACCAAGTCTCTTGTTGTAGCTCTTGACTTCAGAAGATTCCACCACCAAAACTATGGTAGAGCACAGTAACATGACGCTTTAGTGGATCCACAATTAGATAGGCAAATGTCTGCTCGTGAGGCTGGGTAGATGGATAGCACATCCCATTTTCATCCTGCAGTGTACAGATAAAATATCCACATCAGTGGGATGATTAAAGAAATACAAAGCATATCAGGCTACATAAATATTGTAAAAACTATAAAATGCTAAATAAATGCACAATTTATAGATTAGCCATAGACATTACCTATGATCAATCACACTGACCAGCTTTTCTGGTATCCTACACATCTCAGATAATGTTTAAGGATCATTCCCATGGCAGTATTTAAAATAAGAAACATAGATTAATAGACCGTGATATTTGAAATCTCGACCTTCACATCACATGTTCTTGCAAACAACATAACTTTTTTTTTTAAATTATGAACACTCGTAAACGGAAAATACATCCATGATATCCTGACAAAGTTAGTAGATGATGGACGAAACACACTGGCATATAATACAACTATAGGTTCATCTGTCACCAAACAAAAGGAAAACCTCAAACTGGGGAAGAGGCCAACCTAATTACAATGGTGTTCAGTACAGTGCCTTGAAAAAGTATTCATACCCCTTGAAATGTTCCACATTTTGTCATGTTACAACCAAAAACATAAGTGTATTTTATTGGGATTTTATGTGATAGATCAACACAAAGTGGCAGATAATTGTGACGTGGAAGGAAAATGATGAATGGTTTTCAACATTTTTTACAAATATATATCTGAAAAGTGTGGTGTGCATTTGTATTCAGACCCTTTTACTCTGATACCCTAACTAAAATCTAGTGGAGCCAATTGCCTTCAGAAGTCACCTAATTAGTAAATAGAGTCCACCTGTGTGTAATTTAATCTCAGTATAAATACAGCTGTTCTGAGAAGCCCTCAGAGGTTTGTTAGAGAACATTAGTGAACAAACAGCATCATGAAAGCCAAGGAGCACACCAGACAGGTCAGGGATAAAGTTGTGGAGAAGTTTAAAGCAGGACTAGGTTATAAAAAAATATCCCAGCTTTGAACATCTTACGGAGCACTGTTCAATCCATCATCTAAAAATGGGAAGAGTATGGTAAACTGCAAACCTACCAAGACACGGCCATCCACCTAAACCGACAGGCAGGGCAAAAAGAGCATTAATCAAAGAAGCAGCCAAGAGGCCCATGGTAACTCTGGAGGAGCTGTAGAGATCCACAGCTCAGGTGGAAGAATCTGTCCATAGGACAACTATTAGTCATGCACTCCACAAATCTGGCCTTTATGGAAGAATGGCAAGAAGAAAGCCACTGTTGACAGGGACAGGGAAGCTGGTCAGAGTTGATGGGAAGATGGATGGAACCAAATACAGGGCAATCTTAGAAGAAAACCTGCAAAAGACTTGAGACTGGGGCAGAAGTGCACCTTCAGCAGGACAACGACCCTAAACATACAGCCAGAGCTACAATGGAATGGTTTAGATCAAACCATATTCATGTGTTAGAATGGCAAAACTCTGACTACAGCCCTCCTCTGGTCCTCCTCCAGACTCTGTACTCAGAAGGGAGCGGGAGCAATGTTCATATATACACTTTTTTTTAGTTGGAATGATGTGCCAGAGCACATGGCTAGGCTGCAGTATATTCAGTAAATCACAGGCAGTTGTTAAATGTATAAATAGGAATCTAAGGGTATCTACGTTATACTGTACACACATAAACATTTAGTGACCTAACAGGTACTTACATATGCCAAGACCTTGAAGATTGATGATATGATATTTATTTGTTTTGTCTCAGGATCTTTCTGAACACTAAAAAAATGATAGGGGAGAAGAAAATGTATAATCAGGCCACAGCAATCAGCTAATTAGAAAATAATTAAGTAACAGTCTTTTAATCATTCTATTTTCATGCAGGTTTGGGAGGAAAGAAAAGGAGGTAAGAAAGTTTCCGATGCTATAATGACATTGTGGCTGCAACATGATGACTTTGTAATTCTGACTGTGATTTCATCATGTGTGTACATGTATAATCCACTGTTCATCATTCTCAAAAATGTAGGTAATTGTCAGTAACCCGAATATGACCAGAGATGTGTGGACTGACACAGGGAATAGCAGGCTTCAGGAGGGATGTGGATAATATAATTTATTGTGAGCTACACAAGTATACAAAAACGCACAGTGCAAACAAAAACCAAACCTTCAACTAAATATATATATGTTCAGAAATAAAAGCATAGTCAGGGCTGGAGAGGTACAATGGTCAGGCAGGCCGGGTCAGGATCAATGCAGCGGATCAGGTACAGAGGAGTAGGCAAACGGATAATCGAAAGGAGAGCTGGGTCGGTGCAGGCAAAGATCAATCGTAGTTAGAATCGAGCAGGAGAATTAAGCAGGTAGATGACAGGATACAGATAAAGGACAACAAAGGCTCATGGGAAAACAAACACCAAGGCACTGATTGCAGGCCAGGTTACTGTTTAAATACACCTCCTGCAATCAGCCTCAGGTGATGGCTTGACTGCAGGAGATCCTGGCTGCTGAAAGGCACCTGCTGGTAAGTCCTGGTACTGCAACCCATAGAGCAGGTGAGCCACAGCACCACCAGCGGGGAGTCCTTTCCTGAGAGTAATTTTGAGCCCTCTTTAGGTACCAGAATCATTTATAAGTAAAGGCAACCATGCACAGTGCTACAATCAGAAGGGCTGTTAGTTATCTATCACTTTCTTATATTAAGCAGTAAAGGCATTTCCAGGAGAGCGATGACAGGTCATTTTAAGATATATAAACTCTGAGTAATACATGCGCTGCCAAAATGTGAACAAATATAAAATTGTGAGACCCCAGCTGCTGCAATCTCTATATATGTATCATCACAGATGGTAAACAAAGAAAAAAGAAATTGTGCTGCGCTGCTGCTAATAAATAATCCTGTCAAAAATCAGCAAACAGGGCCTGGTTGCTTATAGCTAAATGTTCATTTAATACGACCACGCTGGAGGAAGAATACAAAGTACTGTTTTGTTGGTATTGGGTTCTGGCTCGTTTGGCCCAAGCGAACCCTACCTGCAGTGATCGATGCTTTCGGGGTTGTGGCCATCGTGGTGATGTATTGCATATCTGGTGGTCATGCCGGAGACTGTTTCATTTTTGGTCTCGTGTGTTTTGCCTACTTTTCACCTTGTTCCATCTCTCCATATGCCGGGATGCTCGGTATGCTTTGCGTACAGTGGGCCAAAAAAGTATTTAGTCAGCCACCAATTGTGCAAGTTCTCCCACTTAAAAAGATGAGAGAGGCCTGTAATTGGCATCATAGGTAGACCTCAACTATGAGAGACAAAATGAGAAAAAAAAATCCAGACAATCACATTGGCTGATTTGGAAAGAATTTATTTGCAAATTATGGTGGAAAATAAGTATTTGGTCAAGATCAAAAGTTCATCTCAATACTTTGTTATATATCCTTTGTTGGCAATGACGGAGATAAAACGTTACCTGTAAGTCTTCACAAGGTTGGCACACGCTGTTACTGGTATGTTGGCCCATTCCTCCATGCATATCTCCTCTAGAGCAGTGATGTTTTGGGGCTGTCGCTGGGCAACATGGACTTTCAACTCTCTCCAAAGGTTTTCTATGGGGTTGAGATCTGGAGACTGGCTAGGCCACTCCAGGACCTTAAAAATGCTTCTTACGAAGCCAGTCCTTCATTGCCTGGGCGGTATGTTTGGGATCATTGTCATGTTGGAACACCTAGCCACGTTACATCTTCAATGCCCTTGCTGATGGAAGGAGGTTTGCACTCAAAATCTCACGATACATGGCCCCATTCATTCTGTCCTGTACATGGATCGGTCGTCCTGGTCCCTTTGCGGAGAAACAGCCCCAAAGCATGATGTTGCCACCCCCATGCTTCACAGTAGGTAAGGTGTTCTTTGGATGCAACTCAGCATTCTCTCTCCTCCAAACACGAGTTGTGTTTCTACCAAACAGTTATATTTTGGTTTCTTCGGACCATATGACATTCTCCCAAACCTCTTCTGGATCATCCAAATGCTCTCTAGCAAACTTCAGACGGGCCCGGACATGTACTGGCTTAAGTAGGGGGACACGTCTGGCACTGCAGGATCTGAGTTCCTGGCGGCGTAGTGTGTTACTGATGGTAGCCTTTGTTACGTTGGTCCCAGCTCTCTGCAGGTCATTCACTAGGTCCCCCCATGTGGTCCTGGGATTTTTGCTCACTGTTCTTGTGATCATTTTGACCCCACGGGATGAGATCTTGCGTGGAGCCCCAGATCGAGGGAGATTATCAGTGGTCTTGTATGTCTTCCACTTTCTAATTATTGCTCCCACAGTTGATTTGTTCACACCAAGCTGCTTGCCTATTGCAGATTCAGTCTTCCCAGCCTGGTGCAGGTCTACAATTTTGTTTCTGGTGTCCTTCAACAGCTCTTTGGTCTTCACCATAGTGGAGTTTGGAGTGTGACTGTTTGAGGTTGTGGACAGGTGTCTTTTATATTGATAACAAGTTCAAACAGGTGCCATTGATACAGGTAATGAGTGCAGGACAGAGGAGCCTCTTAAAGAAGAAGGTACAGGTCTGTGAGAGCCAGAAATCTTGCTTGTTTGTAGGTTACCAAATACTTATTTTCCACCATAGTTTGCAAATAAATTCTTTCCAAATAAGCCAATGTGATTGTCTGGATTTGTTTTCTCATTTTGTCTCTCATTGTTGAGGTCTACCTATGATGCTAATTACAGGCCTCTCTCGTATTTTTAAGTGGGAGAACTTGCACAATTGGTGGCTGACTAAATACTTTTTTGCCCCACTGTAAGTAGCAAGCAAGCCCATAGCGGAATGACACTAAGGGGTGTTCCTGCTTGTTCCTCCTGCTGGTGACCCGGTTGAAGGTGGGCTCTCTCCAGAAGCCAGTGATACACCAAATCAACTTCGTGTCCATGTGATGGTCCAGTGGCCATCTTTGTAAGTGCTTTTTATCCATTGATGATTTTATGCTCCACGTGGTTGCTATCTTTTTAACAAAACATACTACACTATATGATACTGTCTCCGGGCTCGGTCTATGAGCTTGCCCTCTAGGAAGAATCCATTTCCTTGGATCACCGTGGGCTGGAGATGGAGAATTGGCTACTCTACTTTTGATTGTTTATTTGGTGTATCACTGGCTTCTGGAGAGATCCCACCTTCAACCAGGTCACAGGCAGGAGCAACAAGCAGGAACACCCCTTAGTGTCATTCCGCTCTGGGTTTGCTTGCTACTTACTTCTGGTGAGTGCATTTTGGTGGAGGTGCAGTGCAGAAATCACTACATTTTGTTGATTTGATCACATCACTATTTTTGGGACTATTATGATATTTAGAGGATTTATATATTTTCATTTGTTATTTGTTATACCATCCATTTGTGCCAACAATAGTCCCACGGCGGCGTCAAGTGGGCTGCTTAGCGTGAGCTTGTTGTGTCAGGAGCAGGGCCTCCAACACAGTGTGAAAAGAGCATCTGAACTTGCATTCTTATTGGAACCCATTCATTTAAATAAGCTACCACCAATGCCTACACTTACTGAGGTGTGTTTGAGAAGATGCTTAGGATCTGGGTGCTTATACCATGGCCAAGTCTTATTTTGACTTTTAGGTCTTTATTTTAAGGCATGATCCCACTTTTGCAGCCAAATTGAGGAAGCACCTACTTTATATTTGTTACTTGTTCCCCTTCACATAGTATAACTAAAAGTACAAAAAAAAAAACCTGCTTACTTTACTTGCTTAAAATTCCTACCTCACTTTTCCCTTCTATGAAAGCAGAGGACTGGAGAGTTAGGTTTGCCATAAATAACCCTGTCTATACTGCGCTGGAAAATCTCCATTATTAGTTGTAAACTAGACGTGCACACTGTCTGTCCTAAGTGATAAAGATCTCAAGGTTTTTGTAGTACACTGTAAACTTAAAAAAAAAAAATGCCCCTGGTCTGTAGCCTGATTGCAAATTGCAATCTTTTCTGAACAGGAACACAGAACAAACATTTAGTGGGGGGTTCTCAAACTTCACTGCAAAAGCGGAATTACAATTTAAATGATGAACATCCCAGCTGTGACAGGTAAGTTGTACCACTCCAGGAGGGGCAGCTGTTCTCAGAATACAGCAGATCTACTTTCCAACTTGCTGCCCTGGACTTGAATTTCACCTAATTCATTAGTTGAGGATCTAGCCATATAAAGCCAGGTTAAGAAGAAATGTCTCTGAAGGATTAAGTACTTGAAGGAGAAGGAGTACTCAGGACATGTTCTTACTTTTAGCATACTCCAAAACAACAAGTCTGCATCCCCACTGGAAAAATTATACCATCATCTTTCCCTGTGAAGCCTTGTAACGACACAAGAGGTGAGGGGGAGATCTCTCCAGGGAGACCCAGCATCAAGAACATCTAACCACTCACGTATTAGAGTTCAGCTTAACCTTTTTTGCGGTCAAATTTTTTTTCATATTTTACAAGTTAAAAAGCTCTCGTTTGATCTGAAATATATTTATAACCCAGCAAAATTATATATTTCCAGCAAGCAGAGAACCTGTAGAATAAAAAACATTGTAGTCGAAAAATCTTTTACTGCATGCAAACACAATATTATCCTAGTATCCCTCATTTTTTATTTTGAAGAAGAGTTTGTGGCAAATTAACAGATACAAAATATGTCTGGCATGTCAAAATTGCATGCAGCTGTGAAATGGTGACAAACCGCACTACGGAACATTTTTGTAGGCAATGATTTAAACACCTCTACAGCTTATCAAATTACAGTCAACCATTTGTAAATGATGGTCTAATAATTATTCCTGTCATAACAGGTAAATGTGTATATACAGATTATGCAGTATGTGTAATCAGTGCTTACATACACTATATTGCCAAACGTATTGGGCCAGCCCTCCAAATCATTGGATTTATGTATTCCAATCACCTCCATGGCCACAGGTGTATAAAATCAAGCACCTAGGCATGCAGACTGCTTCTAAAAAACATTTGTGAAAGAATGGGTCGCTCTCAGGAGCTCAGTGAATTCAAGCGTGGTACTGTGATAGGTTGCCACCTGTGCAATAAGCCCAACCATGAAATTTCCTTGCTACTAAATATTCCACGGTCAACTGTTAGTGGTAACATAACAAAGTGGAAGCAACTGGGAACTACAGCAAATCAGCCACGAAGTAGCAGGCCACATAAAATGACAGAGCGGGGTCAGCGCATGCTGAAGCAAACAGAGCGCAGAAGTCAATAACTGTCTGCAGCATTAATAGCTAAAGACCTTCAAACTTTGTATAGCCTTCAGATTAGCACAACAACAGTGCACAGAGAGCTTCATGGACTGGGTTTCCGTGGCTGAGCTGCTACTTCCAAGCCTTACATCACCAAGTGCAATGCAAAGTGCCAGATGCAGTGGTGTAAAGCATGTCACCACTGGACTCTAGAGCAGTGGAGATGTGTTCTCTGGAGTGACGAATAACGCTTCTCTGTCTGAGCTTGTTTTAACCCTCCTAATGACAGGACGTTTGGTATACGTCATTGACAGCGAAAAGGGTCAGGAAATGAAAAACCAATCACTAAAATCTTATAAAAGCTTTAAAGCAACCCTTTTGCTAGGATAATATTTAAAATCAGAGTCACCCTGTGAAAGAACATGTTTTATACTTACCTTGTGTGGTTTAAATCTTTCCATACTGTAGAGGAAAAGATGGAAGAATTTGACTGTCACATGACTATTGTTTTTGGTAAGTATTTAGCTGGAGCGGATGGTTTTAATTGTAATGTCCTGAGATGAGCTATGAATGGCTCTTTGTAACTTTGAAGAATACCTTTAAAAAAATATACAGTTGCTATAGAAAAGAATCACCCCCCTTTAAAATAATCACATTTTGTTGCTTTGCAGCCTGAAATGACGTCAGACAGTTTTTGTTCTGTCCAGCTGTATTTGCTCAGAGGAAGGTTTACTTTCCAACATGACAATGACCTACTGGGGCGTGAAAGTGCAGAAACTGGAGCCGATCTGAGGCCTGAAGAAATACGAACTGGGCCTGATCTGGAGTGCAAAAGTGCAGGAATAGGGGTTATTGGAGGTGTGAAGGTGCAGAAACTAGGTTACTCTGAAGTGTGAAGGTGCAGGAATCGGAGCTGATCTGGGGTATGAAAGTGCAGGTATTGGGGTGATCTGAGGTGTGAAGGTGCAGGAATGAGGGCTGATTTAGGGTCTGAGAGTGCAGAGATCGGTGATCTGAGGTGTGAAGGTGCAGGAACTAGGGCTGATTTAGGGTCAGAGTGCAGAGATCGGGTTTGGTCTTAGAGAATTTTATTAGGGTGACCACTATCACCTCACCTTCATTTCCAACTGTATATTTCACAGAAGTCCTCGGTTAATTTATTCATTGCAACCTTACCATACTTGCCTCACAGCACATGTGTACTGGAAAAGGAGTTAGTTACCATTTACCATCCTTGAAAGCTCAATGTTTTCTTTTCGTGATTAATTGTAAAGTTAACATTTTTTTATATTAGAAATTATGAAGGAACCCTCTGCACACTACTATATAACCTTTCCAGCAAACTTTGCAATAAAAAAATTTGGGGTTTTGTAGTTCACACATATTGCAATACATGTTTAAGCTGGCCAACTGCATCAAAGTAATCCCTCTATGGCCAGTCCTACTCCGCTCTGCCAACGCAAATGCTAATGTGGACACAATGCCAACATGGGGCAAACAGATATCAAGCGGTTTTTTTTTTTTTTAAATTAATTGCCGGGCAATGCTGGCACTTCTTTTTACATTCAGCTGTCAGCGGGGAACCCCACTGACAGCTGAAACATGAATGACTGTTTTCACTACTAAAATACCGCATGACTTAATGATATAACTCATGTGGCATTCTAGTGTATTCTAGTAGCTGTGAGGTATCTTACCGCATGCTCGAATGCGGTAAGATAAAGCTTAGTGAATTCAAAGTCGAACTTTCGTTAGGTTCGAATGTACGACCGCAAACCGAACAGGGGGGTGTTCAGCCTATCACTACTCAAAAGGTTGCCTACTCCTGATCTGAAGTATTATCTGTAAAGAATTAAAATCACCCCACACTCTCATGAGGTCAGGTTAATGTAACTTTCAATAAAATATAACCTGGCGATCCTTGTTCAGGCACTTCCCGTTATGAAATAATTGTCTCCTATAATGTCACATGCAGGCAGGCATTGTCTACCATGGTCACTGGAAGGCCAGGCTAGATCAATGATGTACAGCCATTGCTTGAGTGCATGCATGCAGAAAGGAAGTTACTAAAGGAGGCTTTCAATGGAGACTACAACTGGCCATCTTAACACAAGCTAAGCAGGCATGGTCCACTGCTGTCACCATCAGGAAAGTCACCTAGAGAAACACCCACTAAACTAAAGGTTGTTTAGCTAAGTTACAGTTTAAAATTTGATCCAATTGATCTAAAATGGACCCTGTAATTTCAAAAATGCATCTGTTATAAAGCAGTAAGACGAAGCACATACAAAAAAGGTAGACAACCTAATTCAGTCAAGAAGGCATCTATGGATTATACAACTGAGAACATTTAAAAGTTATGTAAAAGTCTTACCGGTCTTACCTTAGCAGCTCTTTGTACATCGATTTTGTTGTATCTAGATATGGATTAACCACATCTTCAAACTGACAGACCGCTCCACCAAGGCAAAGATGTTTGAAAAGCAGGAAAATAAACTGTTCTCTATCTGAAGGGCTGAAAATGCCAAACTTGTCAGAGTCTTCTACAAGCAGAACCTAAGGTGAGAGAACACCCATAGCTTTAAATGGATAAGTTTACCTTTAGGAACATGTTCCACCCATTGTTCCCAATGTTGCAGCTGCGCCCCCCTCCCCCCTGATGACAGAAGTACAGGGAGAAGTTCAGTGACTATATTGAAAAGTGAAGGCTTGTGAGCTGCTATGTGAATACTGAAACCTACTTAAGTGCGAATTGTGAATAGCCTGCACCTAACACATACTCATACTAGTGTGCTAAATCAATAATAGACCTTAATGTGCCACGCTTCACTTAAAATTTATACATCCAATTGCTATTACTTATATTGCATACCACCATAAATAAACAAGTAAATGGAATATGAAAAAATGAATAAAAATAAAAAAAATTATATATATTAAACCAGTGTCAATTTCCAAGAACAGTATCCATATAATTATCAAGAAAGTCCATAATAAGAATTCTTCAAACTTGCATAGTTCACTTTAAAATATAATAACCCGTGCTTCTGAAATAAAATATTTTGTGCAAAAAACTTTCATGGATGTGCTCCACCGGTTGTGCTCTCACCTCAAGTATATGACCAAATCGTTAAGTAAGGTCATATATAACGCTTGTGTCCCTTTAAATGGGCCAGCGTATGGATGAGATGATATCTTGTTGTTTGGGGTCCTTTTCCACTCAAATAATAATCTGCCATACAGTCTGTATATAAAACCGCTTTGTTCACAAAATGTGTCCTCCAGAACTTTTCTTATGGTGAAAAACCTAAAATTGCCAGCTGGTGTCAGTATAGTACCATCGAGCGTTGTGACGTCAGAGGGCTCTGACATGACGATTTGTAAGTGAAGCTATATTAAAAGGTATATTACAGGGAGAAGTTCCTGGTACCAGCTAACACTTTTTAAAAACAAGAGCGACTGTGCGGGGCTCCACCCACATGGCCGCGTCATTCATTCACAGTGTTCTGTGAATGATCGATCTACAAGTCTTGAGCCTTAGCGGCTGTCAGCTTGTAGTTCTCAATGGACTACCATGGCGCTGTGGAGCACCCTGGTAGTCCATTGAATCTTCCTGTCAGTATATCTGCTTACCCATACATCCTGTACGGGCAAGCAGACATACTGACAGGTCTGCAGGAGACCTGCATCACACCAGCAATCTTCTTTACAGGCTCTTGCAATTAACAAGCAATGAGGGGGGTGTAATCAGTGCATGCACTGCTAGAAGTCCTGGGTGATCCTGGTATGGGGTAATGGTGGTAGCTATGGCTATATAAGGAAGAGGAGTGTGGGGGTCCGTGTAGCACTGAAGGCAAGGCTTCTTGAAAAAGGAGCACACTTCCGCCTTCCACGGCCAGCGCATGCTCCGAAACGCGTCACAGTGCACCTTGGGTATCTGACGTCATCACGGCCACGCCGACGCTAAATTCCAGCGTACGTTCCACCCGGCTCTGAGGGAGGACGTGCACTCCGGCTGGCCTCACAGCTGTTCCCCTCCAGCCACCACACTGCCCTCTCCACACCCCACACAGATGACAGCTCTTCACCATGGATAAAGAGTCATATTGCACTTAGAGGCGCTTCTCTCCTTCTCTCTTGCAATTAACAACCTGCACAACAATGTGCATTTATCATATTTGGTCAAAAGGTGAACTTATCCTTTCATTAGTACCAACTGGACACGTAGCCATCTGCAGTTTTAGAAGAACATTGTGTGGGCAAAAAAAACTTGTTTATGTCCCTGTGTCTCTATTTAATGAATTCAGAAGGCGTAATGTCACCTCCTCACTGTATGTTTTAACCTCTTTAAAGCCAGCACCACCACTGCAATCCATTAACTTTAATGGGTCGTGTTTGGCAGGTGGTACTAACCACCAAATGCCATGGGGGGGTGGTTTTCTCTGCTCCACAATGCATGGCATCGTGGCTGCAGCATGTATATATCCCAGTATGGCTAACTGTGCACCTAGGAAAGGGAGGGAGGTGGGGCTTGAAAACATAACTTAACTGCCTGTTTTACCACCCCACAACCAAAAGTGTAAAAGAGTAGGGGGGTTTCATCCTCTCTATTTCTTCTGGTGACCATTATCACCAAAAGTGAAAGTAAATCCCAAATGTTGAATAGTGGTCACCAGAAAAGTAATAGAGAGGAACTCTTCCAAAGGGGACATTAGTTCTGGTGATTCTGGTGACTGTCAAGAATTTTCCTCAATTTTTCCCTGTTGTATCTGTGAGACAGGAAGTATAGGGGAATCTCACCAATGGGACACAGATGGCAAAAAAAAGGGGAAAAAAAAAAAAACCCTTGAGACCTTACGCTATCAAAAAAGAAAAACATCTCTCATTCAGTTGTACTTTAAACAACGCAGAACATGCTAAATGGGTAAGGATTCGGATCATGTTTTCTATGCTTATGTCTGCCAGTGTTTGTTCGAAGCAGCAAAAATATTAAGGCTAGCTGTGTCTACCCCAGGAAATGGCAAAATAAAGGACAACCCTTTACAAAGCATAGGGTGCACAGTTAAACCTGGCAGAGGTATTAACATAATGTAGAGTTTTTTTTAGATGTATAGTTCTGTATCTACGCTACTGATTCTAGAACTTAGCTGTATATTCTGCGGATGGAAACCAGTCTCCCCCTTTTGCTCCCTCAGAATAGCCAAACTATTCCAAAAGGTGCAAGGGAACATGTCCTGAAACAATATTTTATGAACAAGCTACATTTTCAAAGTCTTACCTCCAATGTTCTAGTTACAGGATGTAACCAGAACGCTGGAGGTAAGACTTTGAAAATGTAGCTCTCCATACGTCTCCAATAGGTACCAGAGTAAAGCTGGCCATACACTGGAAACAATCTTGTCAGTACAATCAATAATGTTAATGGAGACTTGATGAATGTTGTTCAAAAGTACGTCAAACATCATTTGCTTCTAACCTTTGATGTTGCAGTGAATAGAAATTTCCCAAATGAAAACCAGTTAGAAACTTTTTCATTCAAGAAAAAAAAATTCCATTCTGCTCCTGAAAATTCTCTCATCGCTATGATCAAAATCAATCATCTATACCATGAATGATTAAGGAATCGAAAAATGTTCTCACAATGAAAATTTACGAAAGAAATTCTATTAGTGTGTGGCCAGCTTTAGCCCTAGTAAACTAATTAGCAATCAATAACAATGCCAGCCAGACATACCCCCTGGTTATCGGTTACTCAGCTATGCCAGCACAGAGCACTGGAGGGGAAGAGCAGAAAGCAGCGACTTATTATGATTATTATTATACAGGATTTATATAGCACCAACAGTTTGCGCAGTGCTTTACAATATAAAAGGGAGATTACAATTACAATACATTTCAGTTCAGAAATAATAGCAGGGCCCTGCTCGTGGCGCTTACAATCTAAAGGAAGGGGGAGGTAGAACAAAAAGGTGATAGCTGTAGGCAATCATCTGATGTAGGTACAGTTCTTAGGTGGAGGTGGGGTAGGCTTCCCTGAATAAGTGAGTTTTCAAAGATCACCTAAAAGGCAGACAGGGTGGGGGCTGACTGGGCCCTGCGGTAGGGAGTTCCAGAGGATGGAAGAGGCTCTGGAGAAGTCCTGGAGGCGAGCGTGGGAGGAGGTGATGAGGAAGCTAGAGAGCAAGATGTCTCAGGAGGACCGGAGCAGATGATTTGGGCGATATCTGTGGGTGAGGTTGGTGATGTACCTAGGGGCAGTGTTGGGGATGGCTTTGTAAGTTGTGGTTAGTACTTTGAATTTTATACGTTGGGTTAGTGGAAGCCAATGAAGGGATTGGCAAAGGGGCAGCAGTCGCTGATCGGTTGGTAAGGTGTACGAGTCTAGCAGCAGCATTCATAATAGACTGTTTTGTGGTGTCATTGGTCAGAAGAGAGCGGATTTTGGAAATTTTGCAGATGCTGAGGTGGCAGAATTTGGCCAGTGATTGGATGTGGGGCCCAAAGGAGAGATCAGGGTCTAGGATTTCACCTAGCACCCTGGCATGAGGGGGAAGGACCAATGGTTGTGCTGTTGATCTTAATGGTAAAGTCATGAGTGGGGGATCGGGGGGGAGGAAATATTACAAGCTCGGTTTTGGAAAGATTGAATTTAAGGTAGCGGTGTGACATACGGATATGTCGCTTAGTAGATTTGTGATACATGAGGAGATTGAGGGGGTGAGCTGGCGAGTGGAGAGATAGATCTGGGTGTCATCAGCATAGAGGTGGTATTGGAAGCCATGGGAGGTTATCAATTGGCCCAGGGAGGAGGCATAGAGAGAGAAAAGGAAAGGCCCAAGGACAGAGCCTTGGGGTACCCCAATGGGAAGAGGAGGAGGAGCGGAGAAGAAGAGTTGTATGTGAAGCTGAAAGTGTGCTGAGAAAGGTAACAGGAGAACCAGGAGAGAGAAGAGTCATGAAGGCCAATGGAGTGGAGTTTACTGAGGAGGAGTGAGTGGTCAACAGTGTTAAAGGCAGCGGAAAGGTCTAGGAGTAGGAGTATGGAGTAATGGCCATTGGTTTTAGCAGTTAGTAGGTTGTTAGTGAGTTTTAGAAGGGGAGTTTCAGTGGAATGATGTGGGCGGAAGCCAGCCTATAGAGGATCAAGAAGGCTGTTGGTGAAGAAGCAGTTGATACGGTTGTAAACAAGGTGCTCGAGAAGCTTGGAGGCAAGCGGGAGAAGGGAAATGAGCCTTAAGTTATTCAAACAGGTGGGGTCCAGCGAGGATTTTTTTTCTTTTAAGTATGGGGGTAACCACTGCATGTTTAAGCGGGGAGGGAAAGGTGCCCATGAAGAGCGAGAGGTTGAAGATGCGGGTTAGAGTTTAGGATAGAGCCAGAAGGAGGCTGCAATAATCGTAAGGGGACAGGTGGTGAAGTGTGACTTGAAAAGGTGTTCCGTAACTTCCTCGGTGGTAACAGGATTGAAGGAGGAGAGTGTTGAGTGTGGTGTTGGACCTGGAATGTTGGTTGGAGAAGGAAGCTTGACACTGGAGATCTCATCACGAATTGTGTCGATCTTGTTCTTGAAATGACTGGCAGTCTACTGTGCAGTAAGTAAGTTGGAGGGCAGAGGTAGTGGGGGGGGGGGGGGGGGGTGGAGTAAGGCATTAAGAGTAGAAAAGAGTTGACGAGGATTGAATGAGAGGGTCTTGATGAGTGTTGTAGCAAGTTTGTTTAGCAGTGTGGAGGCTGGAGTTGTATTTGAGAAGGGCGGATTTGTAGAGGGTAAAGTCTTGCAGGGATTTAGTTTTATGCCACGCTCACTCAAGTGCACGGCTGCGTCTCTTGAGACTTCTGGTGTCATCTGTTTGACAGGGTTGTGACAGGCGAGGCCTGATTCTGCGAGTAGAGAGAGGAGCAAGTGCGTCCAGGGAGGATGATAAATAGTTGTTGTAGGCAGATGTGGCCTGGTCTGGGCAGGACAGGGGTGCATTAAAACAAAAAATGTATGGCATACCTAGCAAATATCAGTTACAAATCATAATATGCGGGGGTACAGATGTTAAACATTCAGACAGTTGGACTTTAAATAGGTATCCGATTCTACACTTACTTTACGAAGTTCATCTGAGATAATGAAGTCACCAACATATTCATCAAGACATTTGGAGATATATCCGCTTTCCCTGACAATATTTTCTGCATACAGACAGTCAAATAATGACATTGACAGCTGAGTACAAGGGACTTCTTTTACATCAACCTTTTCAACTTTGCTTCCTTGAAAAATAAACAGACTTTTATATAGCAACACCTAATAAGCTGAAAATAACTGTTACAAGTATTTAGAACATTTATTGCTCAATAATAATAAAAAAAATAACTTTAGTTTCTTTGAGGAGACTCATTGGGGGTTATTTACTAAAACTGGAGAGTGCAAAATCTGGTGCTGCTCTGCATAGAAGCCAATCAGCTTCCAGGTTTCATTGCCCAAGCTTAATTGAACAAGCTGAAGTTAGAAGCCGACAGGCTATTATGCACAGCTGCACCAGATTTTGAGGGCACCAGTTTTAGTAAATCTCCACCTTTTATTTTAGATTTAGCTATAATCAGGACTCAGGCACTTAGAAGAGCAAAAGTCTCATAAAGTAAACAAACATCTTCCCTTTTACCCTTCCTGACAGAGCCACAACCTTTGGACTTTGAAGACTCTGAAGAGGGACTAAAAGAAACCTGTAAGTGCTTATGCACTTAGGTATACTGCAGGGCTGCAGTACATATCATTTAAGGGGAGGCCATAGTTCTAATTTAAGTATTTAATGTTATAGAGGAATCACAGCCTACCTGCTAAGGGTTTCTATTTTTCATCTCAGTACAGTATAATGAAGCCCACCCCACTCCCTTTTGCTGATCTACAGGTAATACTGTAAGACAAATCCCTTTTTGCTTGCTTGTTTATAATACATGCGAAAAATTCACAATCACAATTTAAGCACCTTCTTGTAATCACGTACAGAAAGAGGGAGGTGTTAATGTGTTATCAATTATATTTTAAAATACGCCATTAACCTCCCTGGCGGTATTCCCGAGTGTAGCTCGGGGTAACATTTCAGTACCAAAAGCGGTAACCCCGAGCTACACTCGGGAATACCATGCGGCGCTGCTCCGGCATGTGTTCTTCACTTACCTTACCCTGCGCTCCCACGATGTGTCCCCTGCAGCGTCCCCGGCCATCTCCTCCGGCCGATGCCGGCATCCGGCTTCTGTGTCCTGTCCCTGTGACGTCGGGACGTACGGGCGCCGACGCCGCCGGCGGCGGGAAATTTAAAAATTTTAAAAAATGTCATTTTTTTTTTTTTCATTTTACACAGTAAAACATTGCTGTTTCAACCTATTTCACATACATATTGTCCCTACTGCTTTGTCCTGCGCCCTGCCTGCATTTTGTCTGTTCTTTCTGCCTGGAAACTGAGAAATGTCCATGGCGTCCAAAAAGTGTCCCTTTAGGTCAAAAGCGGTTTAGATCAGCTAGAGAACAGCGATAGTAAATCAGAACCACTTACAGAATTGAGTGATAATGATTCGTGGGGGAAATTCGTCATCAGAAACTGAAAACGATTTTGCGACTGAGCTCAGCAATGTGCGAACTTGGCGCTCTATTTCACATTTCAGTGTTTTTGGTTTGATTATATTATTGAATTAAATTTTTTATTATTTTTATGATTATTTATTAAATTATAATTTATGATTTTGTGTTTCAAATTTTATCATACCCGGGATGTTTACTAGACTCTTGTTCGGACAGATTTCAGTGAGTTTTTCCTAAAAATTACAGCCTACAATAAAAAAAATACATATTTCCATGCAAAAAAAATGGTACCGCTTTCAGCACCAAAAATCTGAAATAATCATACCGCCAGGGAGGTTAAAGAACTCTCATGATCATTAAAAACTTAAATATTAATGCAAGTTTAAATACCTTGCTCTATCTCAGCAAAGACCTGCCAACATATTTAAAAAAAAATTCTATCTTTATTTAACCGCTTTTCCGCCACCCTATAGAAGATATACTGCTACAGGGCGGCACGGGTGCGCAAAATCATGTATATATACGTGATTTTGCATTTCCAGGTAAAGGGCGTGCGTGCCCTACCCGCAATGCTATTCGCGGTCTCGTCTGTCAATCATCGGGTCCCGGACGGTGGTTTTCTCGCCGGCACACGGTGATCGCCAAGCAATACCGACAGAGGGAGAGAACTGTATGTAAGCAATACAGTTCTCTCCCATCAGCTCCTGCACACTGCTTTGTACGGTTTTGCATAGCACAGCCATGCAAAGCAGTGTGCTTACAGTTGAAAGCACTAACACAGCAAAACAGCACACAGTTAACCCTTTGATCGCCACACGTTAACCTCTTCCTGCCTAGTGCCATTAGTACAGTGTCAGTGCTTTTTATTAGCACTGATCACTCTATTGGTGTCATTGGGGATGTTAGTGACACCAAATCAGTCCCCCCCCCCAAGTGTCAAGAATGCCCCCCGCAGTCCCGCTATAAATCAATGAATGCCACCATTACTAGTTTAAAAAAAAATAAAAAAATCCCAGTATATATAGCACCATTTGTAGAAGCTATAACTTTCACGTAAACCAATTAATTTCCATGTATTGAGATTTTTTTTTTTTTAGCAAAGACATGTAACAGAATACATACTATACAAAATTGTCGGTCTTTTTTTTTTTTTTTTTTTTTTAATAGTGCATAAAATAAAAACCACACTGGCAATCAAATACCACCGAATATATATATTTAGTTTTTGTCACTTTAGGTAGTGATTGTTCACTTTGTATTTATCCAGTTTTTATACATATTTAATATACGTGATCATGTGTGGATTTGTATATATATATATATATATATATATATATATATATATATATATATATATTATTATAGTTTTGGGCACTTGTCACTTTTCATACACTTAGTGTGTGTACATTTACTACCAGTTTTTATCCACTGGGTGGCAGACTGGTCGTTTGCTTTGTTTGCACACATTGATTGATTTGAAGCACCAGTCACCTTCACTTTATAAATATTTATGTATTGGAATTTTTGTATTTATATCTATTTTTTTTATTATTTTGCTTTGTTTGCACATTCATTTGGAGCACTAGTCACTTTATTATATATATATATATACATTTTATTTGTTTATATTTAGTTCAATTAGTCTATTACCCTCATGGCTGAGCACTTCATCCACTATTAGATATAAAGTCCAATATGCGGCCTTGACAGCTCCAATGAATGGTGGAATCCCTGGTTCTGACTCTAATCCTGCTTGTTAATGAAACAGAACCCCCATTGAAAGTTTGCTATGACCTCAATCAGCTAAGGTTGGCTACACACTAGCAGATTTTGGAATGAACTTCTGTATAAAAATTATTTGTACATTCGATGTCTGAACAAATGTAATTTGAAAGTACTTCAAAATGTTGCCTGCTTTTAACATTCTAATTTGAAATGAATGTCATTTCCCAAACGAAAACTAAATACAAAGCAATTCACTCAAGAAAAAAATATCCATCCTGCTCCTTTGAATTTTTTCATCATTGCAGTAGAGAGATGAACGTCATTTTGAACCCACTAGCTGCTAGAAAAATTAATGATCATTCCGAAAATGCAAATTTCAAAAAAATTCTAAAAGTGTATGGACTATATGGCTAGCCTCCATATGGCTAGCCATACACTCTTTTTTCAGCTCCGTAAGCTGATTGAGAGAAATTATGTTTAGATGAAGTAACCTCTTGTATTCTGACAACAGCCAACATACATAGCTGTCTGAATATCTGAACAGTAACTGCTGGATGGCTGGATGCAGTCACTGTTCAGCCGACAATTTTCCACCTGGATCCTTCGATTATACAATCTACGTTTGCTAAGCAGGTGGTGCTGGCAGCAAGAATCCATTAAAATGTGAGCAGTGTACAGCTAGCATAACAAATCTACAAGTGAGCTCCATCTGTCAGGGAGCAATCAAGGTACTTTTAATAGCAGAATACAGAAGAGTTACGTTCTCAGTCAGATGAATGCAGGTGCCTCAAAGCTCCAAAGAAACCTTCTAAGGTTACAGGTACTTCATAGACAGTCTGATCACCCCTCAAATCTGCAGAATCCAGTCATCGGATGATTGGTATATAATATATGGGCACCAGTGGTTTATGGTGGAGGAGTTGCCTTTTAGGCAACATCTAGAAAAAGGAGATGGACGGTATATTACCTGTCGTCTCCTACAAGCCTGGTAAAAGCAGCACATGGGTTCTTTTAATATGCAGAGTTGAGAAACTGTGACAGTACATCCCGTACGGGCAAGCAGATCTAATGACAGGTCTACAGGAGACCTGCATGGCACCAGTGATCTGCTGATCGCTGGTTCAATGATTTACAGGCTCCTGCAACAAAAAATAAGAAATGCACTTTTCTTTATTGTACATCACGGGATACAGAGCAGGCTATTCATGACTATGTGGGTTATAGGTTACCTATAGGTGAATGGACACTGGCAAACCAATCAGAGAGGGAGTCCTCCCCTATATAATCCCTCAGACCCAGGAAGTATTTCAGTTTTTTTGCCAGTGTCTGTAAGGTGGATGGTCACTGAAGTGTTGACTTTAATAAGAAGCCTGTTTTTACTGCCATCCTGTAAGTGTTTATAACCATTATTATTAAAGTGAATTTGGATATACTACACTTAGAAGTGCCTTCCTGTCTCATCTTCCTTCACATACAGAGTTTGCTACACTCTCAGAAGTGGTGCCCAGTGCCTTTGTTCCAACTCATCACCATCACTGGCTGACAATTTTCCAGCTACAGCATCTTCCACCGATATGCCCTATACACATCCTCCTCACTGAAGTGTTGCATGTGCTCTTGGAGCATGCCTGAAGGTCCAGAACTGTTCAATTAGAAAATCAGGGACAGTAATCGGATCCATTCGGGAAGCTGTTAACCAAAATGGAAGGTACTCGAGCCTTGTTGGATAAGTAGAAGAATCCTCAGGGTTTTGCCTGTAATAAAGCCATATGGCGCTGGACCCTGCGTAATGGAACCCTGTGCAGTATAATACTAACTGATATATGGCACTGTTAGGCAGCACTGACTGGCACTGATAGGTGGCACTGAATGGCATTGATAGGTGGCACTGGCACTGATGGGTGACATTGAAAGGCAGCTCAGATGGGCACTGATATGTGGCATTGATGTGCACTGGTATGCACTGATATGTGGCATTGATGTGGCACTGGCACGTGGCACTGATGGGCACTGGCATGTGGCACTGACAGGTGGCACTCCTGGGGCCACACTGATCATCAGGGCACACTGATCATCAGTGCCCTGATGATCAGTGTACATGTCCCCTCCGCAGAAAGCCGATTACCGGCTCTCCTCTCCTCTCCAGCTGTCAGCGTGACAGCTCGAGAGGAGAGAAATGCCGATAACCAGCATTTCCGTGTTTACATGTGATCAGCTGTGATTGGACACAGCTGATCACATGACCGAACCGACATCTTCGGCTCTTTCCGTCATCCGCTGTGTCCGAGGGACACAGAGCACCAGCGATCGCCACGCTGCGCATTCCTTGAGCCGCACATGCGCAGTGAGAATGGTAGGACATCATATCAGAACGAGAGAACCACCTTGCGCCCGTCATTGTACTATAGTGTGGGCAGAAAGTGGTTAAGCAACAGACTCCAAATGCCATTTAGCTATATTAAGAGCTTGTGTAGATGGGCAAAGGCAGAATTCCAATTCATTGTGATCAATCTGAAATGCCTCTGTGTACCTTCACAGCTGCATTCAACCTCCACTTTGCCCCCTTTTTACCTGCTTCAAGCTGCTTTGGAATTCCAACAGGAACAAAGGCCACAGACTCCAAATCTGACAAAGCTGTTTTTTTTTCCATCCCCAAGTGGGTGCATGTGTCAATGTACACAGGCGTTCAAAGTCATAAACGTCCATGATAGACAACAACTACAACACAACCGACACACTACTACCAAGTAATCCTCCCTCTCTTACTATCTACTATAACTTCTAATTCCACTATGCTTCCATTGAAGAATTTGAAACCAGATATTTGTGTTGGTTTTCTAGTGAATTTTATCCTGTAATATTACTTGATGGTTTCCAGAATTCAATTTGTGTCAATACTTGCATGCTAAATTCTAAAAAAGAAAGCTTTTTACCAAAAAATAGAAGCAACTTTCTACTTTTAGGAAAGTAGATGGGGGATAGCGTACTACTGAATCAGAGTGTATTTTTCACCAATATCTGCTATTAGTGGTGCACCGAAATGAAAATTCTGGTCCCGACACCGAAAACTTCAAAATGCACTTGGACGAAAACCGAAACCAAAATGCGCAGTTTTTAAAAATGAATACATATTTTTTTGAAAAAAAATACACTGATTAAAAAAAAAAAAAAAATATAATATATATATATATATATATATATATATATATATATATATATATATATACCCCAATTTTGATGTAAAATATTAAAGAGGATGTTACAGAGAGTAAATAGGTACCCAACATGTCATGCATTAAAATCGTGTGCGCTCGTGGAATGGCGTGAAACCGCGATACTTAAAAAATCTCCATGTGTGATGCTTTAAAAATTTCTACAGGTTAGCAGTGTAAAGTTACAGAGGAGGTTAGTACGAGAATTATTGCTCTGACGTTCGTGGCGGTACCTCTCCTGAGTGGTTTGAACACCATTTACATATGTGGGCATGGCCTATGTATGCGAGGGGACGTATGTGGGGGACAGGGGCAACTTTTTTACATTTTAATTTTCTTTTTTTTGCATTGCTCCTTTAAAAAAAATTTTTAAATCGCTTTTATTCTTATCATAAGGAATGCATGCATCCCCTGTGATAGAAATAATTAATGACAGGACCTCTTTATGAAGAGATATGGGGCCAATAAGATCCCACATCTCTCCTCTGCAATGTAAAGCATTAAATGAAAAAAAAAAAAGCAATGATCTAGTGCTTTTAAAAAAAAAAAAATGGGCAGAACGGGAAGTGACATTGCTCCAGTACTCCAAGGGCATAGAGAGTAGCAACCATCTCTCCTTCGCTCATCTCTATGCCTAGCACTGCGATCGATGGTTTCTTAGGTAAGGCTGAGTACTACCAAGCGGCGGCCGGTGGCAGCAGCGGCTGGACAGCAGCGACAAGGGGCGGGGGTTTTTCAACACCTGTATCGGTGTTTTCATTTCGGCCTAGGTCCGAAAGGGGTGTTTTCGGCCACTGAAATTTCGGTGCATCCCTATCTGCTATATTACCAAAAACCCACAAAAGGAACATTTGTCTGCAACGCTGTCTATGGGAGTCATTTAAAAAACAGTAGTATGGCTGCACCACTCTGTAAAAGAAAAAAAAAAAATGCACAGCAATGAGGTTTAAAAATGTGCTCAGGCCTCTACTGGCTTCAGAGTCCTGAAAGTGGTGCAGCACATTAAAAAAAGAAGGAAAGCTCTCTCCTTACCAGCTACACACTGCAGCCTTATTTTTCATGATTGGGATGGACTGTAGGCTGTGTAGCACAGCAGTGCATAGCAAGGAGGGGATAACGTTATCTGCTCTACATTATAAATAAGCTTTACTAGCTGTCACACGCAAAAAAATCCTTTTCTCCAAACCAGACTTTCTCAACCTCTTCATCACAAAGGAATCCTTTAAATAACTTTCCGATCTTATGGAACCCCTGCTAAAAATTATTATTTTATTAGTAATTATTATTACTACAGTTCATGGTACATTAGTGTGATGGTCAGTGAGAAGAAAGCTCCTTACACTTTTGGTCATTGGGAAGAATTTCCCCCTTACAGATAAAATGATCATTGACCTCAGTGGGAACTTCAAGAGGCAAAAATTGGTCATTGCACAAGGAACCCCTAGAAAACCTTTGGAGGAACGTTATTTGGGAAACCCTGATCACAAATGAAAAAAATAAGTGTCATTAGTTTTTACAAATAGCTGTTTTGCATTTTATATTTTTATCTGCTCCATCCGCTCTATAAATATCTCAGGGATTATTGTAGGTGTAAAACAACTGATCTGTCATAAACAAAGGAACAATTTTATTTACCTGGAATCCCCAAACCCTCATCTTATAGCCTTACATCAGCAAGAAATTTAAAACGGTATAACAGCAAGATTACCCAAAGCAGTCCACTGTCCTGAGCTGGAAAGAACTTTTAAATGGGAAACCACATTTGGATCCTGGAAAAATGCCTGAAAATAAAGATAATTTTTTAATGCTGTGCCATCTCATGCCAAACTGAAAAGCAGAACAAACACAAAGGACATTTATGTAATGCAAAAAATAGTGGCTGATAGAAAACTTTAGCAACCAACCATATGTCAGCTTACAGTAGTCTGACTGCTAAAAGTTGGTTTCTGTTTTCACTGCTCTTTGAATTATCGTATTTAAGTTACCCTGCCCACAATAAAGAATTGCAAATAAAGGTGGTACTTGAAAAGCAGAATGTAAATACGTACTTTTTTTTCTGCCCGTGCTGTCAAGCTGGCTCCATTGCTGAGCAGTCTTACCCTGAAGTCTACTGGGATAACCAATACTTCCAGGAATATTGAGCTATTGTATGCCCCTGGCAACACATACAGCAGATCTCCACACCATTACAAAACACCAATGAGCTCTGTGGGGGCACAGGATATCAACACTTCTGGCAGTGTTTAGCAGTGCAGGCAGCAAGGAAGTTGAGAATTTACAGTCTTCTTTTCAGGCACCAACTTTATTTGTATTTCTATAATAACAACAGGGTAACTTTAACTGCTTCCTGACGCCCTATAGCCGAAATACAGGCACAGGGGCGCAAAACCATGTGTATATACACACACACACGTGATTTTGCAGTTCCGGGTCGGGGGCGCGTGTGTGAGCCCCACACTGCCATTCGCAGCCTCGGCTGTCAATCAGCAGGTCCCGGCAGGCGATTCCCGCCAGCACCTGGCTATCTCTGAGGATTTTCGATGGGGGAGAGACCTGTATGTAAAAACAATACAGATCTCTCCCGTCAGCTCCTGCACACTGCTTTGTATGACTCTGCATAGCAGAGCCATACTAAGCAGTGTGCTTGCAGTGAAACACACACAGCCCACATAGTAAAACAGCACACAGTTAACCCTTTGATTGCCCCAGATGTTAACCCCTTCCTGCCCAGTGCAATTAGTGCAGTGTCAGTGCTTTTTATTAGCACTGATCACTGTATTGGTGTCACTGGGGATGTCAGTGACACCAAACCAATGTCAGAATGCCTGGCGCAGTGCCGCTATAAGTCGCTGATCGCGCCGCCCATTACTGGAAAAAAATTCCAGTATATATACACCATTTGTAGACGCTATAACTTGATTTTTAAAATTTCTTTACTGGACATGTGTATAAACAAAAAGTCAAAAATATTGTTTTTTTTTTTCTCAAAATTGTCGGTCTTTTTTTTTTTTTTTTTATAACACAAAAAATAAAAACCGCACAGGCGATAAAACACCACCAAAAGAAAGCTCTATTCGTGGGAGAAAAGGACATAAATTTCATGTGGGTGCAGTGTTGCAACACCTTGCAATTGTCCGTTAAAGTTATGTAGCGCCGTATTGCAAAAACTGGCCTGGTCAGGAAGGGGGGTAAATCCTCTGGAGGACACGTGGTTAAAGCTTGTTTGCAGTAATTCCCTACACGCCAGTTTAAAATAAAATTTCACAATACAATCATTAATTCCTGGAGTGATACTATAGGATCCCTCTTTATCTTCTTTAGTAATAGAGGTGGGATTCCTCTTCATCTTCTCAAGTGATAGAAGTTAGGAAGATTGAAGTCTTCCTCTTTTAGTGATGGTGGTGGGATTCCTCTTTATCAACTACAGTGATGGTGGTGGGGTCCCTCTTCAACAACTACTGATGGTGGTGATGTGATGATAGGGTCACCTTCATCCTCTCCAGTGATGGTGGCTGGTCCCCTCCGCTGCATCAAAAAATGCTTACACCATGATGTGTGAGGGCCAATCTATACAGCCTTCTAATGTGCCCAGGCTGTGTAAAGACGGGGGGGGGGGGGGGGGGGGGGGGGTGCAGGGGGGGGGGGGGGGGGGGGGGGTGGGGGGGGGGGGGGGGGGGGGGGGGGGGGGGGGGTTGTGCCATTTACAGCGCTGTACAATAGGGGGGACAATACATGGCACAGTACAACAAAAACAGACAGCGTACGAGGGGTAAGAGGGCCCTACTCTTTCAAGCTTACAATCTAGGAGGGAGGGGGTAGTGGAACAATAGGAAGTGGCTGAGGGGGATGAAGTGGCTGAGGGGGATGAAGTGGTGGGAGGAATGAGGGAGGATGGCCGTTAGGTGAGGGTGGGGTAGGCTTCCCTGAAGAGATGGGTTTTGAGGGAGCGCCTGTAGGCTGAAAGACGCTAGGCATCATTCATCTCAAAAGAGGACCGACCTTCTTCAAGCATGAGAAGCATTTTGGGATTTTTTTTGTACATTTGAGGAGTGGTTTAAAACTTTGGATTTTCCATCACTTTCCTTCTGGTGAATCTCCCCAGCAGGGACAAGAGGGCAATAAAACCTGACAAGCTTCTAACTTTTCCCTACTCTATGCAGAATTAAACAAAAACATTTTGGCTACTCTAAGTGACCTATCTGCATTGAATAGATACAGTATATTTATTTCTTACAACCTCCTTTTGACAATGCTAGTTGCTGGGCTGTTTTTGACCTAAATAATATTTGACCTAGGAAAAAGCATGCCGCCGGTGAAAATCAGACTTCCCAATATGAATACTTGTTCCAGGTCAGTGACTAAGATGAGGCCAGTAGATGAGGATGTCAGCCAGGCAACTATCATTTGCAGGACAACAAGTCCACAAAACAGGACACCTATTTTTACAAGCACGGGTCTTTTTTAATTGTCAAAGTAAACAGAATATGAAAAATTTTATTTTTATGTATTTTGACCACCTTTAGGAAATGACTTGCCATTGCCAGCTCACTTCTACACAAACGAAAACATATTAAATAGTTCTAAACATATGGAAATGTAATTAACATACGTTATTGTCTGCTGGACACCAAGTGGTTCGGGCAGGCATCTGATAAAGTCATTTAAAGCCAGTTCCACAGTCCCCTGCCACTAATTACTTCCACAGGACTTTAGGATTAATGTCTGCTGTACAGGCCTCTCACCTTCTTTGTCCTTTACACTTAGATCTTTTGGGTGTAGAGGAACATCATTCAGAGGGATGAACGCACCCCTTACGAAACTCAAACTCTTGATAGCTATACAAAAAAGCTCTGGCCATGTCTATCAAAGAGTTTGCAAAAAAATTGTGTCTGTTTTAGGGCTCGTGTGGATGGGCTTTGGGTTTCTCTCAATGGCATCAGTTTGCCTTGCTTCTGAGACCACTCAGTTGCACTTGACCAGATCTAAGTGGGTTTTGCATTTCTTTAGGGCCTGCCTTTTGCACCCAAAAAGTTGCAAGTCTGCAATGGAAAAAGACAGCAAGTGATAGCAGCTTGACTTTGAGTCTGTATCAACCGGATGATTCATACCTGCTGAAGCAAGAACTTCCACAAGGAGGAGGAAGAGGGTAGGTATCTGCGTTCCTTCACATAACGTCTGAAGCCCCAGACAAGCCGATGCAGGTATTGGGAACACCTGAATTTAGGTGACATCAAGCGGGCTTCTCTGAAATTATAGCGTATGTACTCTCCAGCGCCTCAGGATATGCACAGCCAAAAGGGAAGCAAAGGGTACCAGGACAGCGACAACCAAAAGGAAATGTTCCAGGGGTGCAGCCCTCCTCAGACGGGGAAATCAGCCACTGGATAGAGAGAAAACAGGTGGCGCACACACCTAGTGCATTATCCAAGGTTTTATTGTAGGAATTAAATCATAAAAACATACTCACAGACGAAGCATGTATCTAAAAAGCATAGAAAAATTACAATGGCCACAACGGGGGGCAAGGTGTTCTCACTGTCAGTGCGGTCAAATGTCTGACGCGTTTCGGGGACGAATCCCTTTCCTCAGAGCTGATGACCAACCTGTGGGGAAATGGCTGCTGGAATGCAAACCACAAGACAGGAAGTAAACTCCGGATGACTCGTCTGTGAGTATGTTTTTATGATTTAATTCCTACAATAAACCTTTGATAATGCACTAGGTGTGTGCGCCACCTGTTTTCTCTCTATTCTCTGAAATGATAGGAGATGGTTGGGCCATGGGCACAGATAGGCAGGTCAGGCCTTGTAATTGGCAGCCTAATGAGCTGTCAATTAAAGCTGATTAAAGCTGATGGCAATTGCACTGTCCTCAGGTTCTCACATAGGCCGACTGAGAACACAAGCCCATGATACAAGTGAGCATACATGCCATGTGATGAATTTCCACATGCCACTGAAAATGACATTGCCTACCCACACTAGCACGCATGCCTAGGGTTGCTTATCCCTGTTATATCATTTCAACATTTGTTAGTAAATGTATCCAACCAGGTTCTGACTTGGTTCCTATTTGATAACCAGTGCTGGGACACTTTTTTTTTTTGATATGTCATTGCAGTGAAGTACCACTTGATATTTTTTTATTATGATTTGAGCTGCTTGCCATGTTCTCCTTCAAGCCTGGTACACACAATGAGATTATCGAACAAATGATCAACCGTTTTGTTTTTTGCATGCTAGTCTCCATATCGAAAATGAAGAGGTCACTAAGGCTATGAAAAAACTCATACAACAGAATAAAAATTCAGAAGTGATGTAATTGTATTGTATTTTTGCATGAAAACTGTGCTGAATAACCGAAAATCGTACGATCTGGTATTGTATGAGAAAACTTTTTGTACTTGTTTCATCGGATAATTTCATGCGACCTATCCTGCTCAGCTCTCGAAAACTCTGTACGAACTATCAGATTATTGCATGATTGCATTGAAAGCGGAATTATTTGTACAATTTTTTGATTGTGTGTACAGACCTTTACAGACAAAGCAGTGTTGAAGTAAAGGTGGGTGGTACACATGGTAACAAAATTGGTGATACTTAGACACCACAAAAATCATTATGCTAATATGCTAATGGCCAAAGCTTGGGGAAAACTCACCAGGACAAAGTCATCTTTCTGATAGGGCTGAAAATACTGGTCATAGAAAAAGACTTGTGCCATTAGTCTACCATTCATTGACCTGAAGAAAAATAGAAAAAACGATTAGTATCAACATTTTTTTTAACCACTTGCCCTCCAGAAGATTTGCCCCCCTTCATGACCAGGCCATTTTTTGCTGTTCGGCACTGCGCTATTTCAAATGGTAATTGCGCAGTCGTGCAATGCTGTACCCAAACAAAATTTATGTCCTTTTTTTCCCCACATAAATAGAGCTTCCTTTTGGTGGTATTTGATCACCTCTGCAGTTTTTACTTTTTGCGCTATAAAAAAAAAAAGACCAACAATTTAGAAAAAAAAAAAAAAACACCACACCATATTTTTCACTTTTGGTTATAAAAAATATCTAATAAGCTCAAAAGTTAGCCATAAATTTAGGCCAAAATGTATTCCGCTACATGTCTTTAGTAAAAAAAAAAAAATCTCAATACATGTATATTAATTGGTTTGTGTGAAAGTTATAGTGTCTAAAAAACCACACACACACACACACACACATATATACACACACACACACACATATATATATATATATATATACACACACACACACACACATATATATATATATATATATATATATATATATATATATATATACATATACACACACACACACACACACACACACACACACACACACACACACTGGAATGTACGTAGCTTTTGGTTTCTGACTGCCTAGCACATTTCTTGAGGTGCTAAAATGCCTGGGCAGTACAAACACCACCTCCCAAATGACCCCTCTTTGGAAGTAGACACCCCAAGGATTTTACAGAGAGGCATGTTGAGTCCATGGAACATTATATTTTTTTGCCACAAATATTTTGAAAATTACAATTTTTTTTTTTTTACACAAAAGCTGTCATTTTAATGATATATTGATCATGCATGCTATGGGTATATGTGGAATAACACCCCAAAACACATTCTTCTACTTCTCCTAAACATGGGGATACCACATGTGAGAGACTTTTTGGCAACCTAGCTACATACAGGCCCCCAAAATCTAATGACCACCTCAAGGCTTTCAAAGGGCATATTTCTTCATATCACTTTCCCATCACAGTTTTGGAGGCTCTAAAATGCCAGGATAGTACAAACATACAACCAAGGAATTTTATAAGAGGCATGGGGAGTATTTTACAGATATCATTTTTGTCACAGGGTTTTGAAAAAGAAAAAAAAGTAAAGAAAAAATAAATTTTTGTTTTTTCTTTGTTTTACAAAAATGTGTCAACAAATGAGATCTGCAAAATACTCACCATGCCTCTTAGCAAATACCAAGGAGTGTTTACATTCCAAAAAGGGGTCATTTGAAGGGGTTGCTTCTACTATCCTGGCATTTCAGGGCCAACATTAGAAGCTTATGCCACACATATCACCCACTCTTGAAAATCAAGCCTTTTCTGACACCTTTTGTTCACATGAAAAAACATCTTTTTTTTGCTAGAAAATTACTTTGAACCCCCAAACATATACACACACACACACACACACATATACACACACATATACACACACACACACACACATATATACAGTGGGGATCGAAAGTTTGGGCACCCCAGCTAAAAATTTGTATTAATGCGCATAAAGAAGCCAAGGAAAGATGGAAAAATCTCCAAAAGGCATCAAATTACAGATTAGACATTCTTATATGTCAACAAAAGTTAGATTTTATTTCCATCATTTACACTTTCAAAATAACAGAAAACAAAAAAAAATGGCGCCTGCAAAAGTTTGGGCACCCTGCAGAGTTAATATCTTGTACTGCCCCCTTTGGCAAGTATCACAGCTTGTAAATGCTTTTTGTAGCCAGCCAAGAGTCTTTCATTCTTGTTTGAGGTATCTTTGCCCATTCTTCCTTACAAAAGTCTTCCAGTTCTTTGAGATTTCTGGGCTGTCTGTCACGCACTGCTCTTTTAAGGTCAACCATAGATTTTCAATTATGTTGAGGTTAGGAGATTGTGAAGGCCATGGCAAAACCTTCAGTTTACGCCTCTTGATGTAATCCCCCATGGATTTCGAGGTGTGTTTAGGATCATTATCCATTTGTAGAAGCCATGCTCTCTTTAACTTCAGCTTTTTCACAGATGGCATCAAGTTACCATCCAAAATTTGCTGAAATTTTATTGAATCCATTTTTCCTTCTACTCGTGAGATGTTCTCTGTGCCACTGGCTGCAACACAACCCCAAAGCATGATTGATCCAACCCCATGCTTAACAGTTGGACAGAGGTTCTTTTCATTAAATTCTGTGCCCATTCTTCTCCAAACCTACCTTTACTCGTTCTGGCCAAAAAGTTAAATTTTAACCTCATCGGCCCACAGAACTTGTTTCCAAAATGCATCAGGCTTGTCTATATGTTCATTTGCAAAGTTCAAACGATGATTTTTGTGGTGAGGATGTAGAAGAGGTTTTCTTCTGATGACTTTTCCATGAAGACCATATTTGTACAAGTATCTCTTTATAGTGGAATAGTGTACCACTACTCCAGCGTCTGCCAGATCTTTCTGGAGGGATCGTGCAGTCCAACGTGGGTTTTGAATTGTTTTTTTCACACAATCCTGCGAGCTGTTCTGTCTGATATTTTTCTTGGTCTTCCAGATCTTGCTTTAACTTCCACTGTTCCTGATGACTGCCATTTCTTAATTACTTTCTGAACAGAGGATACTGACATCTGAAAACGCTTTGCTATCTTCTTATAGCCTTCTCTAGCTTTGTGAGCGTCAACTATTTTCAGTTTCAGTTTTCTAGACAACTGCTTAGAAGAACCCATGGTGCTGATTGTTGGGGCAAGGTCATATGAGTCTGGGCATTTAAATCCTTTGAGATTGACATCACCTGGTCTTCCCAGAGGATGATTGAGAACAATCCATGACACTGGCAGGTCTCAGCTTGGCAAAGGGGGCAGTGCATGCTATAAATTCTGCAGGGTGCCCAAACTTTTGCAGACGCCATTTTTTTTTTGTTTTCTGTTATTTTGAAAGTGTAAATGATAGAAATAAAATCTAACTTTTGTTTGACATATTATAAGAATGTCTAATCTGTAATTTGATGCCTTTTGGAGATTTTTCCATCTTTCCTTGGCTTCTTTATGCACATTAATACAAATTTTTAGCTGGGGTGCCCAAACTTTCGATCCCCACTGTACATACATACACACACACACAGTCAGGTCCATATAAATTGGGACATCGACACAATTCTAACATTTTTGGCTCTATACATCACCACAATGGATTTGAAATGAAACAAACAAGATGTGCTTTAACTGCAGACTGTCAGCTTTAATTTGAGGGTATTAACATCCAAATCAGGTGAACGGTGCAGGAATTACTACAATTTGCATATGTGCCTCCCACTTGCTAAGGGACCAAAAGTAATGGGACAATTGGCTTCTCAGCTGTTCCATGGCCAGGTGTGTGTTATTCCCTCATTATCCCAATTACAACGAGCAGATAAAAGGTCCAGAGTTCATTTCAAGTGTGCTATTTGCATTTGGAATCTGTTGCTGTCAACTCTCAAGATGAGATCCAAAGAGCTGTCACTATCAGTGAAGCAAGCCATCATTAGGCTGAAAAAACAAACCCATCAGAGAGATAGCAAAAACATTAGGCGTGGCCAAAACAACTGTTTGGAACATTCTTAAAAAGAAGGAACGCACCGGTGTGCTCAGCAACACCAAAAGACCCGGAAAAACACGGAAAACAACTGTGGTGGATGACCGGAGAATTCTTTCCCTGGTGAAGAAAACACCCTTCACAACAGTTGGCCAGATCAAGAACACTCTCCAGGAGGTAGGTGTATGTGTGTCAAAGTCAACAATCAAGAGAAGACTTCACCAGAGTGAATACAGAGGGTTCACCACAAGATGGAAACCATTGGTGAGCCTCAAAAACAGGAAGGCCAGATTAGAGTTTGCCAAACGACATCTAAAAAAGCCTTCACAGTTCTGGAACAACATCCTATGGACAGATGAGACCAAGATCAACTTGTACCAGAGTGATGGGAAGAGAAGAGTATGGAGAAGGAAAGGAACTGCTCATGATCCTAAGCATACCACCTCATCAGTGTTGCATGGTGGTGGGTAGTGTCATGGCGTGGGCATGTATGGCTGCCAATGGAACTGGTTCTCTTGTATTTATTGATGATGTGACTGCTGACAAAAGCAGCAGGATGAATTCTGAAGTGTTTCGGGCAATATTATCTGCTCATATTCAGCCCAAATGCTTCACAACTCATTGGACGCCGCTTCACAGTGCAGATGGACAATGACCCAAAGCATACTGCAAAAGCAACCAAAGAGTTTTTTAAGGGAAATAAGTGGAATGTTATGCAATGGCCAAGTCCATCACCTAACCTGAATCCGATTGAGCATGCATTTCACTTGCTGAAGACAAAACTGAAGGGAAAATGCCCCAAGAACAAGCAGGAACTGAAGACAGTTACAGTAGAGGCCTGGCAGAGCATCACCAGGGATGAAACCCAGCGTATGGTGATGTCTATGCGTTCCACACTTCAGGCTGTAATTGACTGCAAAGGATTTGCAACCAAGTATTAAAAAGTGAAAGTTTGATTTATGATTATTATTCTGTCCCATTACTTTTGGTCCCTTAACAAGTGGGAGGCACATATGCAAACTGTTGTAATTCCTACACCGTTCACCTGATTTGGATGTAAATACCCTCAAAGTAAAGCTGACAGTCTGCAGTTAAAGCACATCTTGTTCGTTTCATTTCAAATCCATTGTGGTGGTGTATAGAGCCAAAAATGTTAGAATTGTGTCGATGTCCCAATATTTATGGACCGGACTATCTATCTATATATATATATATATATATATATATATATTTAAAGCAGAGGCCCTAGAGAATAAAACTGGGTGTTGAAATTTTTTAAGTCACACAGTATTTGCGCAGTGATTTTTCAAACGCAAATCTTTTGGGGAAAATACACTTTTTAGAATTTGAATGCACAATAACACAACATATTGCCCAATTGCTTGATAAAATAAA